TTTTTTTTTGTTTGTTTGTTTTTTAGTCACCCTTTTAACGAAAATTGAAACTGGTGAATTTCACGCATAAGAAGAGAAATAAAAAGCTTGGAAATGTTTTAATGGTTTTGCAGTGATTATACCTTAACTTTTGTGTTATAGGGAAAATGGAAGCATTGGGTTGCCAGAATTCTTTTTAAAAATGGCTTTCAATGGGCAAAAATCATCAAACTTCCAAATACACAATTTTATAAACACGAAATTTTTATATTACATTTACAAAATACAAAACACTTTTAAAAAATACAGTATCGATAAAACTAACAATTTTCCTCCACTGAAAATAACAAGTAATTAATGTAGTTTCAGGCAGCCTAAATCGTGTTTGGAAGACAATACTAGTTTGTGAAAACCAAAATCATTTAGAAAAGCTGTTTTTGGTTGCCAGAATTGTTTTCAAAAATAAAACTAACAAAATACTTCAGTGTCCTCCAATAATCAGAATATATTGACCCTTACAGTGTCTGTACATTAAATATAACAGTTATTGGTTTCCATAACATCTTTTCCTATTATTGCAGATGTTCATTGTTAATATACAGTAATGAACTTGCCAGGAAGAAATAGGTTTCTTAATATAACTACATGGTAATCCTACTAACTTATCTTACTTAACACAGATTATCATTTGTAACTTTTCACAGTTCCAGTATATTCTCAAACTCACTCTGTGTCTTATTGCAATGTGATTTTGTTCATCTATAATAAACCCATGTTTCTATTAATTAATAAAGAAATCAAAACTACTTCAATTGTTGCCGACACGGCAGAAATTATATACGTTATCATTTTTATTTTATATTTTCCACGCTGTTCTTATGTTTATTTATATTGTGTTAGAGAAGACACTAGAACACTGCTCAATATTAAGTAACATCTATTCATCTAGTCATGTGATCAACAGTATAAAAGCCGATGTTGCATGTACTCTGCGCGGTCATTTATATACTTACTGGCAGAGTGGAGGTATGTTACGATATTACGTGTAGATTGTGTAAAATTTATGTGTTTAATAAAGTGTAATTCACTTATATAGAGGTATATTGTGTAGTTTACAAAAGTTTACATAAGTTTACTTAAGTTTAATCAGTAACATAAGTTATGAGCATCGTGTTTATTTAAAGTTTATGTTAGTATGGGTGTGGCTTTTTCATGACCAACACGCACATGTATATTTATGTTATCAAATAAATTTACAGTACCAGCTCAGATTGCTATGGCCGTATCTGAGCAGCCAGTTGCTAGCGGAGAAAGCGAGTCTGGATATTGTTCTAGTGTGAGTGTTTTAAAATTAAATAATAAATAATTAGAGAAAACTTACACGCATGTAAAGATCAATTATTTGTTGTTAAGATCTCATGAATTAAGTTTAGTATATTTAGTTTATTTATCTCATTATTTCACTGTATTGTTATTATTATTTTTTCTTTTTCTTTTCTTTTTATAGTTTTCACCAGTTTTTGTCCAGTTTCTGTTCAGTTTTTGTTCAGTTTCTGTTCAGATTCTGTTCAGCTCTGCGTGAATAAACGGCAGTATTATCCAATGGTGTTGCTTCATTACTCGTGGTCCGCTACATCAATTACTACATTTTTTGTGATTTTGTTCACAGCGGAGACATGTGCCATGAATTAGCCAGAGATATATCTGTAAATATCTAGTGAAAAATCAATCTGTGGCCCTGGTAGAGGGTATATTTCTATTAACCAAGAAATAAAAAGTATTTTCATTCCTACCTTTTTTTTGTGATTTTGTTCATCTAAAAACCCACATTTCTATTACCAAAGAAATAAACAATATTCTAATAGCTACATTTTTTGTGATTTTGTTCTCAGTGGGGAAATGTGTCATGAATTTGCAGATATTTAGTCACTTCTAATACATTCGGTAAATCTTTTTGATCAAAGGAAATTTCAGCTGTCCATTTCTTAATGATGAGTAATTTGAATGAAATACTTTTTAATTCCTAAGTGAAATCTCATGTTATATAATTACCTTAGGCAAAATGTCAGGAAAATGCACCCTGATTACACCAAATGAACCTCCATCAATGGCAAAGTGAAAATTGTCCACCCTGCTCTCTATGTTCAGGGTACTGTAGGGCTGAAAATGCCACAGTTTCATACTTTACTTCAGTTTCTTAAAATATGTAGAAATTTTAATAAAACACCCAAAAAACTAGAGGGATATTTCCATGCTTAAATGATGGTCACATACCAAGAATGACATATAAACAGTATTTTGGGTGAATGATCCTAAGAAAGCCAAAATAACATTATTTCTTCTGAATGCAAGAAAATTAATAATACTTGTCAAAGTCATAGTACCCTGGTTCATAGGATAATGTGCATTTTTTAATAGGCTGAAAAAAATCTACATTCAACATATCAATTTTGCCTTTCACCACACTCCACAGAACCAAGGTGCAGGCCATTATGGGGCACAACACATATTTAAAGCTTCAACAAGTGTTTTAAAAAGTAGTTCTCTTACATACCTTATCTCTTTCCTCATGGCTGACTGTAAGTTCATTGTCCAGGTTGACCTCAGCATATTCCCAGTGGATGACTGCCTCACTGTTCTTGCTGGGAGGACTGGCTTTCACCATAATCACCTTCTCTTCCTCATCCACCATTGCACAATCCCTGGCAACACTTATGGCTGTGTGCATGTTGTCACCTGCAGTAAAAATTGCTTTTGCAGAAAATTTTGCATTTCAAATGTGATTCCATAAACTAGCCCCAGGCAATTACCCACCTGAAGAGACACTGGGCTTGTAAAGGGCTATTAGCATAAAGATTTTGGCACATACAGTCAATTTAATATATTAAATCATTGATAACATCATGATCACCAAAATATATAGGGACTGTGATATTGTTGGCGAAGTTTTCCTAAATACTTTACAGATAGTTTGTGCTTATATCCAAAGGGCATGTGATGATCAAAGTACATTCCTAACAGTCACATAATTTAAGATAATCTATTACAGATTTTTCCACAAAATGCATTTTACTTGACAATGTGTGTGTGTGTGTGTGTGTGTGTGGGGGGGGGGGGGGGGGGGGAAAGGGGTAACTTCTTTCCTCA